AGGAGTAGGCCACTTGAGAAGGAAGAATAAAACCACTTGGTAATAGTTTTCTTTAAATGCCTTCCCTATATGTTCTTCATCAAAAGCAGCTGTTTGATTTCCCTTCTTTTCCTCACTGTTCTGCCATTGCATTCTTTTTGAAGATTTAGTAGGCATGGATCCACTTTAAATATAACAAACCATCCAAATCCAAACATAGGTTACTGGCTCGGAAACAAAATGACTCTCCAAAAATCTTTATAAGTAGAAAGTCATTATCTTTATGATTTGTGATCCAGCCAAAGGAGATTCTATCTGCAGAGCTCTTGCTTGTTCCGCATTCAACATTCAGACCGGATGAAGATGCCAAGCTAATAGTTAGGAATCTGTGCCAGGAATATTTCAGCTGTTTGAAAAGGAGCACAAACAGCTTAAGATTTTTGATATGAATTAGTTTTAAAATTAACACTTTTACTGCAACAAGAAGTTGAGCTTAAAAAGATTTGGTTTGTGAGATCTATTTTTAATAAAGGTGTGAGGGTTTTTCCTTGTTGCATTCCTAAAGGTAGCTTTAGATACAGGGTTTCCTTTTCTAGTGTGACTATATATAAGATGAGTTATAGTGACTGTGGATCCTGAAACCTGTAGCTGCAGTGTTCAGGAAGAAAACTGATATTCAGGCTAGTCATATACAATGATTTTCCCTTTAGGGTTAATAATGTGTCTTTTTTGTACTACGTGCAAGCAGTCAGCAATCTGCTTGATTTGGAAAAGATATTGCACCTTCTCCTTTGAGCTAGTAGCCCGTTACCTTATTAATGAATTCAGGTCAGCTTACAAATGGGTCGCTGTCATTTCAAATGCAGATCTCTTCAGCAGTACATCCATGTGGGAAACAAGGGCTTGAGGAAATGATTGGGAGCTTGCAGGTGCCAGTACTGTAGGAAGTTGTGAATGGGAGGCCGGAATTTTCCCTCAAAAGGCAGATCTTGGGTTCAGCACAGGACACTTTTTATACCTTAAAATGCTGTGGGTTTTTTGTCCAATTTATTGAGGAATATTTTGAGTAGCATAGAGCAAGTCTTTTATGGCTTAGATGAATCCCTGTGGCAGGGATGTTTGATGTCACAGCGGATCTGAATCAAACTCATGTCAGGGGAGTAACATGTCATTATTCTGGTCTTCTAGCAGATCTTCCCATTAGATACTGACAATAATTGATTGTTTTGAAAACAACTTAAACTATGTTCCTTGAAAAGGATTCATTCTCCACCTCCACCAGTCTTAAGGATCTTTTTATAGATCTTTTCTTTGATCATTTGTAAACTGTCCAGCTGACCTGGTAGTACCCATATTCTTTCGTTCATGGAAGTGTGTCAAGTTCAAACACAAGCGTGATGTGTTAATGAACTCATTTTCCTAATATAACTCTGCAACAGTGTATTTATGTCCATGCAAAGCTTGCTTTTCCGCTGTTGAATCGAGTTGGCATAAGAATCTCTTTCAGAGCAAACTCATCAGCCCTAGCTAATATTTAGAGAAAAAGCAGAATTTGACACCGTACAACCTCAACTCTGCCCTGGTGTGGTACTCACAATGACTTGCTATGTTTTTCTGTTGCATTTCAACAAACTCCTCGCTTCTGTTCCTTCTAAAGCCATCATTAGCACTTAGGAAGAAGTCTTTGTAACAATAATGTACGATAACTGCTGGAACTTGGCTGTAGAGACCTCCTGTGTGGATTGGGAATAGTAGCTTCCATTCATTCTCCCCTCTTGTCTTTTCAATATCATACAAGTAAAATGGATGTACTTCACCCATCTTGGGAGAAGGATATTTGTGGTTGATAACAGAAGAAGTGAATTCCAACACAATGTGAGAAATGCTAGTGCCCACGTGCAGTTTTATCTTGAATCTGAAGTTCAACCTACAAATTCTCTACTGTTAATATTTAACTTATGGTAAACTTTTTCCCTGATAGGTTTGCTATGATAAAAACCAACAGATTCAAGTGCAAAGAAAGACCATAATAATCTGTAATGCATACAGATGTTTTTAGGGGATTACATGCATTCGTTTGTTATCACAACCATGCCTTGGGTTTGTTGAAGCCTGCCTTTCTAGCTATGTTCTCTCCCGTGTTTGAGGATAAAAATTCAGGAAAAGAGATGATGTCTGCAGGATGGTTGAGTTGCTAAAATGCCTGCTTTGGTTTCCAAAATGGAAGCATGTCTCTCATGGATATAAAGAAAGAAATTGAACCGAGAAGTATTTTAAATTGTTGCAGAAGCAAATTGAAAGTCTTCTCTTCTTGAGCTGTTGCTACTCATGTACTTTGGGTTTTAATCTCTTTTGCTAACATATTCTCATAAGAGCAATACAGAGAAACAGTGAAACAGTAGAAACCTTTCTGCTTTTCATGAGTGTAGTTAAGGCTGGATATATTCTGAAGAGAAAACTTGGCACAATGCTTTTATTTATCAGGTCACCTCTTCACTTGGCTTCACTCAGCGTGTGTCTGCCCGTATCAAATTGTGTGCTTTGGAATACATTTTTTTTTTCTTTAAAAAAAAAAAAACGATTACAGTTAAGTGACTCTGGAAATCTTTAGATTCCCTGCGTATCAGTCTGTCTGGGTTTGGATTTGGTTTCTCGGGCTGCATAGGTGGTGCCTTCTCAGACTGAATTTGTATCTTTACGACTCTCCAGAAAGCTACGATTGTTCAGAGTGCAGAAAGCTGCTTGTTTCGGGTATTTTGGCCCTGGAAGTAACTACATCCATGCTGCTTAAGATGAAAATTACTTCTGCACAAATGTAGTCCTAGCACATTTAACAGGAGAGAGGATTATCAGAGCATGTTTTGTAATTTAATATGGAACGTTACACTTCCTACACTGACTTCCTATTACAGAGTAGAAATTACAGTGGTCTCACTCTGTATTTTGTTCTGTCTTGTTCTTTCGCTTTCTTCTGTTCCCAGCTCCAGAAAGAGTCCATGCAACAGCTCGGTGCCAAGTGACACCAGGAGGCCTGCAGATCTCATTGGGCAGGAGGTGATACTGGTTTTCTTCCTTCTGCTTCTTCTGGTTTGGTTTCTGAACCGAGAGTTTGAAGTCAGTTACCGCCTGCACTACCATGGGGATGTGGAGGCTGATCTTCATCGCACCAAAATTCAGAGCATGAGGGATCAAGCTGACTGGTTGCTGAGGAATATTATTCCCTATCACGTGGCCGAGCAGTTGAAGGTTTCCCAGAGCTATTCCAAAAACCACGATAGTGGCGGGGTGATCTTTGCTAGTATTGTGAACTTCAGTGAGTTCTATGAAGAGAACTACGAAGGAGGCAAAGAGTGCTACAGAGTCTTGAATGAATTGATTGGAGATTTCGATGAGCTGCTCAGCAAACCGCATTACAGCAGCATTGAGAAAATCAAAACAATTGGGGCTACCTACATGGCTGCTTCAGGACTAAACACCTCACAGTGTCAAGACAACAACCATCCACATGGACATTTGCAGACCCTTTTTGAATTTGCCAAAGAAATGATGCAAGTGGTGGATGACTTCAACAACAACATGCTGTGGTTTAATTTTAAACTTAGGATTGGCTTTAACCACGGCCCCCTCACTGCTGGGGTCATTGGCACCACCAAGTTGTTATATGACATTTGGGGTGACACTGTGAACATTGCTAGCAGAATGGACACCACTGGCGTAGAGTGTCGTATACAGGTGAGTGAGGAAAGCTACCGCATCCTAAACAAGATGGGGTATGACTTTGATTACAGGGGGACAGTCAATGTCAAGGGGAAAGGTCAGATGAAGACCTACCTTTACCCAAAATGCATGGACAATGGGATTGTGCCCCATCACCAGTTGTCTATATCTCCAGACATTCGGGTTCAAGTGGATGGCAGCATTGGGCGATCTCCGACGGATGAGATTGCCAACCTGGTGCCTTCTGTACAGAATTCTGATAAGACAGCCCATGGCACAGATAACTCAGAAACTAAGGACATCCTTCCTTCCTCCAAGAAACTCCAGAGAGATGCGCTGAAAGTGGAAGAGAGGTGCAGGTTTGGCAAAGCTGTAGAGAAGACTGACTGTGAGGAAGCAGGAACTGAGGAGGTCAATGAACTGACAAAGCTAAATATCTCTAAGAGTGTATGATGCACTGTCAGAGTTGCATGAAGTGCTCTGTCAATAGAAACACAAAGACATTTGCAATTGGCAGTTTTCTTTTTGAGGAGAGACCTTCTCAACACCTGGGTTGTACGTTTGTTTTCATTTCAGTGCCTGATGCTGTGTGGATCACAGTTCTTCAGGGCTTATTTTCATCCATCTCTTTCCTCCATGCCCCAAATCCCATCCCAAGCTCCCCAGCTCCCTGTGCAACCATCTTTCAGCTGAGTAGAGGATATTAAGTGCCTTCAGATATACTCCATTGGACTCCCTGTCAAGGTACAGAGGCCCCAAGTGAAATCATAGCTTTGGGTATTTATCTAATTTTAAAGAAAAGAAAAGCTGTGGTTATATCATTTTTATTGTTCTTTCTCACAAAACACTTTTTTTGGCTAATGCAACTCCTTGGGTTTTTTATATCTATCTGAACAATATTTTACTGTTATCAGACCTTTTGTATGTAAACACTCAGACAAATGTGCATGTTATCTACCATACAAGACTGACATAAAGTGCCAGTAACGTACCACAAAAGAATGTCTTGGCAAGGGGGTGACAATTTTCCTTCGTGTTGGGCGGGAGGAGGAGTTCTGCAGTGGCTTAACGTTTAGTTAGAGTTGGCTGAACAACTGCTGTAGTTTAATTCTCCTGTACTGATGCTTTCCTTAAACTTAATGTGCTATGGTGTGCTTCGGATAGCCTTGTTTTCCGTATAGCCAATGAGTTACTGACCTGTGGGTGTGGAATCATGGTTCGGACTTCAGCGACTCTCAGGACAGGGGTCCAAAAGCAGAGAAGTGACCGTACAAGTGTTAAAATTCAGGTCTTAAGCGTCTAAAAGTTTCATTTTGCTCCACCCCCTAGCTGAATTTGAGAGGTAGGTGAAGTTGATATCTGGAAAGCTGGTCTGATTTGAGAGTGAGAAAAGCTAAATAAATGTTTTGGGGATGCCTTTATTTATTTATTTATTTTAAGTCTATTTTTGTTTGGGTTTTGTGGAAGGGATTAGGAGAGGTGAGCTGTTAATTGGTTTAATAATGGTTTAATAATTGGAGTAATAAGAAGTCCAGTAGGGTTTCAGCCTCTTTGAACTACCAACCACTGTGAGGATGTTACCTAGGCAATATTTGTTTCAAAGCTGGAGAAACTTCCGAAGCCACCAGACGCCATTGAGGATCCCAGCTTCCCTCCGTACTGAATTAATGGTGCTGCACAACATTTTTCAGGATTTGCCCCCTACACTGTGCTTTTGCAGCAGGGAAGAGAACAGCGTGTTCCCTGCGTGCCGCTGAAAGCAGGAATAGGGAGAGAGTCCTCCATTGTGAGCTGAGAAGCACAATAACTGCCCGGCCCTACAGGCGACCGTGCGGATCCCTGCGCCCAGGGTCCGCATGAGCACAGGAAGCCGTTTGCACGGAGGCGGCTGCAGGACTGGGGCCTTAGACTATGCCAGTCCTCTCTCTGCATGCTTCCATCACCTCTTTCACTTGCATTTGATTCCCTGCTGCAGATGATATTGGTTATTCGATTATTCCAGTTTAGCCAACACACGTGACGCCAGATGAAAGAACTTTTGTACCCCAAATAAGTTCGTTAGCCTGAGAAAAGCTGGTGAAATGCAATGCTGTATTGTCTGCGTATTGATGTCTTCTGATTATTCCTTTCCAGCTGAACTGAAAGCAGAATATATTGATACTTGTTTGAGTAATAATAAATACATACATTGTGAAGTTCCTGTTCAGCTATGTGAGATCCATCCACACTCCATGGTGAGCACGGAGCTCTTGAAGCCTTTGCCAAGTGTTAGTCTATGAGATATTTGGATCTCAGTTACATTAAATGAGGTTCAGAACACTGTTCTCGAAAGCTGCTGCTTATGCATCTTTGAATTAGGTTTGCCATGGAAGCTGTTGAAAATGAACCTTGCTCAATCTCCCAGCATACAAAAAGTCCTGGGTACTTGACCTTGTACCCTTTGGTCACAGATGCTGTAGACCTGCTTTGGGGCGGCTCCTGACAAGCAACAGAAAAACGTTTTTCTTAATGCACAGTTCTACAAAAACCTTCCTTGTCAGTAGATTTAAAATAGTCCCTTTCCCCTGACCACCCCATTCTTAATTGGTTGCACTTCCAACTTTCAGGTAGTATAACTCTGCAAATACCTCTTGCATCCAAAGAATGTATTCTTGAAACCCGTTTTAGGATTCCTGTTTCAGTTATGTCAGTGTTTCTTTTCCTACATAGAGGAGTTAATGTTGTCTGGAATTGTTTACATGCCTGATAGTGTTAGGTGTCTCAAAGTTGTTAAACCCTTTTCACCTTTCATTTATTTTCTCCAGATTTTTTAGAGACAACCATATATCTAGTGGCAAAATAGCATTTCTCTCGTTATGGGCTGTGGATCCTGGCAAAGTTCAGTCAAGACGTGCCCACTTCTCTCTCCTGCTAATTGCCACACACTGACGAGACCTCCACCAGCAACAGTCCTGTGCCCAGTGAGAGGTTTGCACGTTGTGACTAAACTTAAAAGGAAAAGGAGTGGTCCAGGTCCTGGAGCAGGGCCTGGCGCTGAGAGCGCCTTTCTTGAGCTGTTGCATTAATGCACTACATAAATCAAAGTCCTCGTCCTTAGGCCTGTGAAACACATCAAGCCCCATGCTGATCGTGGCGTGGTGCTGGGGGAGTGGGGTTAGGTTTCTGGTAGTGTCAGGATACCAGAAAGCCCCAGAGCCTCCTTTTTGTTGGCCCTCAGCAAATAAAATGATTGAGGACAGCAGTATTAATGGATGTGGAAATCAAGGGCTGTTGCCTGCTCTTGGAACGGGTTTGTTCTGCGTAGGGAGCTGACAGCAGGTGACGTTACTCTGCCTTAAAACTGGAAAACAATCATGAAAAGTTGAGTAACAGGTTGTACCTCTGCTTGCTTATTGCTACCAGAACAGCAGCAAACATTTAACAACTTCCACTGGAGAGATTGCCATTCTTCTTTCAAAAGCTTGGAGTAATTTTTTTAATGCAGTGTAGATACAAAATCCAGAAGCTGAGCTCTCGGTGGCAAGTTTAAATAGATTTTTCAAAGGTGCAAGGAGCAAGTAGATGGCTATTTTCTGGTGGAAAACAGTGGGAGCTGATCCCTCACATCTTCCTTTTAAGCCTCTCAAAAGATGTCCCAATAGTTGCAAAAATTACTCTGTAGGCGTTTTTAATGGCATCTCTGAGTGCCTCAGAGCCAAAGGCTGCCGTGTTACACATTGACTTGCAGGAGGCCGTGATCAAAGTTAATTGAATTAAAATAGGTTTTGAGCTTGTTCTGCTAGTGCCAGCCCAGTTGTTGGAGCTCAGTGTAAAAGCTGAAGCTTTGGGCAGATAAGTGGCAGTGTGTTCTGCAAGAGGAGCCAGTGCATTGCTGCAGTGTGCATGTGTTTTTAGGATATGTTAATACTAATCACTTCAAAATAATCCAGGGAGAGACTGCTGAGTGTTTCCTAGCCCGGTTTTTGTCTTCTGCCAGTTTGCTTGCAGAAGTTGTTTTACAGCTTAGATTAATGAGGAATATGCTGAATATTTTCTGCAGTGTTGTCGTAAGCTGCCGCTAGCACATTTAGTTTTTTCCTTGCAGCTGCTTCAGTGAAACTGAGTGGATTTTTCGTTTAAAAAATGAAAGAAAATGTCATTTCCATTGTTTATTTTTGGCGTTTATTTTTGATATAAGAGCAGACGGACTCTTTGCTGTGCAAACTTAGGATTATTCCCTTTTGCTTAACCTAAGAATGGCAATGTCGTAAGTGCTTTGAGCGGAACTGAAGCAGTCAAGATGCAAACTGCAGCTCACAGCTTTCCCGCTGCTCTTCTCTAATGCAGAAGCGACAACATAGGGGTGGACAGGACGGGCTTTTCAACAGGTAAGGAATGAAACTTTACCTGGAGCTAGGTTAGCACCAATGGGCAACAGTGAAAGGGCTTTACAGGAAAAAAAAATGGTTGAAGACTCTTATAGTGTAAGTCCAAAACATAGGCACGGCTTTCAGATGAGAATTGAAAGATATAGTAACAAGAAGTGTGTGCCTGTGAGCTTTTAGGTAAAGGAGAGCTGATTATTGATTAAAGAACCAAACCTTTAGGGGGTCTAGCACTTCAAAATTACTGAATTCTAACTTTTTGAATATTAGAAGTTTTAAAATTTAGAATTTCTAGCAAGTGCCACATCCAGCTCCTGCATTAAAACAATGTTGAAGGTGAGCAGTTACTAACTTCTGATTTTTATTTTCCAGTGTTGCAGAGCACTTAGAGACTATGAATGCCTGAAGGTGGTTATAATCTGATCAGCTTTCTGTGTGGCTTGGGGATTTTTGCCAAATTTAAATATTGTATTTGTTTTCTTACTTCTTTTGTGCTGCGGCCTTGTGTTTCTGAGGGGACAGGGTGCGGGGAGAGTTTCTCACTTCCCCATTCCTCACCTTTACTAGACGAGAGCTCCTGCTTTTCACAGCAACACTGGAATTCTGTTACTGCCAGGCTGTGGTTTCATGTGTTTTCCTCACCACTTCAACTGCTTGGACTGCTGCTTGCCTCTGTCTGTATTTCCTAATACCAAGAGGAACGGGAACAGTGTGTTTGCTTTGGTATTCCAGCTCGGCCGCGTGTGCCCAGCCGCAGCTGCAGCTTTCTCCTAGTGTTATTGCCATGCTGCTCAACAGAAGATAGGGAAGAAGTAGCAGGTACTTCTAAAGAGTTAAACTGAGGAATTCTGTGAAAAATAACATTTTTGTCTCGCAAAAAAAATCTTAGCAAGTGTACAATAGCAGAGTGTATAAAATCAAGTAAAACCACTAGCTGCAGTATTTAAAAAGGTCCTTGTCTATCAAAACACTCACATGGTTTAAATGGCCCGTGGAAAGGAAGCAGGACTCAGAAAGCGTGTGCTTTGTTCATCCCTTCATTCATATTAAGTTTAAGGCTGAGCTGAGGCTTCCTTAAAATTATTTTGTGGACATGGTTGTTATATGAAAGCAGTGTGGTCAAACAGCAAATAGTGATTCTGCTTGCTTTCCACAGTGGAAAACTTCAGAAATAAAAGTGCACTGTCCATGCAGTGATTGTTGGACAGGTAGGATCCCTAGTGCTGGAGAGCTAAGTACTAATATGCAGGTGGGTCTTTTTCTAAATTAAAGATTGTATTTAGTTAAATGTTATGAAACTTCTAAAAATCCAACAGCTATTAATTGATAAGCCTTTCAGTTGCTGAAGGTGTCACAGGGGGGTTTCACTGTGAAAAGACTCTTATTTTCTAACAGAAAAAAAAACAATCGATGCTAAAGATGTAGGAAACCTGCACCACTGAATAGCAGTGAGCTGACAATCGATGCTAAAGATGTAGGAAACCCACACCACTGAATAGCAGTGAGCTGCTGCAGCCTGGGTGCCCAGGCAGCCGGGGACACCCAGACTGGGTCTCAGGTGCTTTCTGAGACGTCGCTAACTGTATATGGAACATCAGAATTGCTCAGAGAACTTGTGCAGGGAAGTCGTTTATCCCAAGAATATTTTTCTTCTTGAAAATCTCCATGTAGGTTGTAACAGTCATTGTTTGAGTTTCCAGAGTGGGGGGAAATTAATTGCTCTTGGTTGTTACTAAGAACTTTCATAAGAATATGTAGAATTTTGCAAAGTCCTATAAAAAATAAGTTGCAAATTATAACCATTAAACACTAATTCCTGCAGACAAACTGATGTCATCTAGCTGTTCAATTTGAGTTGAAGATTTCTGTTGAGCTGTGAAATCGTAGATTATTTTCTGCTAAAATATGTGTTAAAGGAAGCTTGAGAGGCAGAATACTAAGGCCTGCTTACAAAAATATGGTGCGACCAGTGTGGGATATAATGTAATGATATGTTTTATACAAAAGCTGCTGATCTGGCGGCAACGTGTAGGATGAGCGTATATAATACCACGCAA